TATAATAAAAAAGTAGCAAGTTATTTTAATTTTTATTAATATCAAGATTTGGTAATTAAGCTTTTATTCCGCCCATCCCCTCAATTATTAATTAAGGAATTTGTGCGACAGAGTCGTTTTCCTGGATGAAGGTCACCAAGGGATAACAAGAGTTTAAGCGAATTGTGTCTTCTCTCGTTAGACAGTTGTGAAACATCCATGGCGTCTTGCAAATAATGACCGCGGACCGAGTATCGTGAACGGCGATGGTTACTGCCGTTCGGACGTTTACGCTGTTATACAACTGGAAAACGTAACTGTGGTCGAAACATAGAACTGGACATTACTAACAGATAGACGAGCCGCGTGGTGGAATGCACTAACATAAAAGCTAATGTAGCAAAGTGCGGTTATGTCTATAATGGAAGCGGCTCTCATGGTGTGCATTCACCACCTTCATCGTTCTCCAGAAGTCCACTAATATCCTTCTAGATGCCACCCCTGCGTCCTGTCTTCTCCCTTCGAAGTCTTGCGTCAGTTAAAGAGCTCTTCGTTCTACTCTTCACTAACACCTTTTCTTCCTTTTTCTTCCTAATATCGAATTTGTAGGTTTTTATATTAGCTTGAAATATTCTAACAAAATATTCTAACAATTTTTGTTTTTCAAATAAATTTTATATATATATATATATATATTCGATACAGAGATACGCTCAATAGCCGGTTAATTAATAAAAATTTATAGACATCGTGTCTATGTTTCGACATACAAAGTGTAGTAAAGGCGTTAATGAGAACGTCAAATCCGAGAATGGGGATTTTTAATTACTTTAAGATATTTGAAGGGCGTCCGCTTTCCTTTCGCGTAACTGATTGACTTTTATTAATTATGTGATTCTTGCAACGCCTTCTCTAGCTGCAGGCAATTTGTAACCGTGTTCTCGAGGTTTAATGAAAATGTCAACGTTCAGGCGCCAAGCACCTCTCATTAGCTAACCGTAAGCGACACCTGTTTGCTATCCGCGTTACAATGAAGTAATAATATAGCATAGAAAAGTCAGTTTCGAATGTAATAGAAAGGCAAAGTTGATGTGCATATGAATGTCTTACGACAATTGTGTGCTGTAAATGATTAGTAGACAAATTATCACTCATGCGTTAATCATGATATTGCAAATTTTCATGAAAACTATGAAGATGTATTAGCTGCGTTCGGATTCCTACCTAAGTGCTCCCCGGATGTCATATCATCCTTGTTGTTTATCAAACGTTAAACAAGGATGACATGACACCTGAGGAGCACCCAGGTGGGAATCCGAACGCACGCAGCCTATCAATTGTAAGAAGTGACTCTAAAACCTTTTAAACACAGTGCGAAGGAATAACGATAGCGATAGGAATAACACAATTTCAACTTATTAGAAAGTGTATATTTCAGTGTATCTGATTTCTGATAGGTTGAAATAGTGTTATTCCTATCGCTATCGCTATTCCTTCGGATTGTGTTTAAGGCTTAACACTTTAGAATTTAAGTAGGGAATAGTTTGTTAAGACGAGAGAGAGAGAGAGAGAAAGAGAAAGAGAGAGAAAGTTCCATTAATATTCTCGACAAGCCAAGATCGAACTTCAATTATTCAGAGGAACGCCGTTATACGCTCGTCACCCTCTATAATGGTGCCGTGCGTCTTTTTGGCGTTTCATCTGTCGCTCCTGCACGCTCTTATACACACACACACACACACACACACACACGCACGCGCGCGCATTAGTATTAGCATTAGTATTAGTATATTGTATGGATGCTGTGCGTGCGTTGTGTGTGCAATATATGTGGCGATGGACGCGTACATAGGAGTGTCTCTGAATTTCTTTCGAGAAAGAAAAAGAGAAGGAAAAGAACGGAGGATTAGAAAAAGAGAAAGATTGAGCTCTCCTGAGATATACGGGGGTTGATAGAGGGTTGGAGAGGCCGCAGAGGCTCACCGTACTGATTATACCCACACCAATCGCCCACCACTCACGAGCCGTGTATCCCAATACGAATTAAAACATATCAAAAGCACGTATATATATTGAAGTCAATACCTTCGAGTTTCCACGCTCCGTCTTCTGATCCCAAGTGTGAGATATAGAATGCCTTCGGGTAGGCAATAGACGAGGAGCAAGCAGAGAAACTTTAATATTTACGATATGTTGGTTTATTCCATGTATAAGTCACGACAAAGTAAATGATTTATTTAATATGAAATTCAAGTTAGCTAAATTTCTGTGATTATCGAATTACCGAATTATTACGTAAACAGCGTATGGTATTCCAATTGCTAATCAGAAAATAAAACGCCAAAAAATATGAATGCAGAAATATATTACTGCATACTATTATTTTACTATTATATATTCTACTATTATTTTCATAAGGTAAATTATACCTACCGAGTAATAGCATAAAAAAAAGAATCAATTAGAAAGTCTATTTACCTACTAAATAAGTAAAAATATAATATAATCAAATGTGATATTTTCAATATTTTGTATATATACCAGCATTAATACCCATTTTTATGAAAAATCAATCTATTATGAATTGGACTTATAAAATAAAAAAGCAATATTATGCATATAATTGATGCACTTACTATACTTTTATTTTTATACGTACTTATACGTATACGTACTTTACTGTATCACAGTTACGAAAAAAAATCAACGTGTCTATCGCAGTAAATTACGCATAACAGCGCTAAAAAGATTAATCATTTGCAGAATTGTCCAAAATTAAATGACAGTTTAATTGCGTATAAAACGTATTGTTGTATCTTGTATATAGTTAAGAGATGTCGAAGAGTGATAAAAATTTTAAAATATAATGTGATGTGCGCGCGCTTGTGTCGATACAACATCATAATCATAAGTATACTATCTTATATAAACAATGATGCTCTCTAAGTGGTCGCACGCCCATTTTTGATCCTCCACACAACACTTTTTATCTCATCCTGACTATAAAAATGCGCGACTATATGCGCGCAAAATTTTATTACAAAATAAACTTTTTTGTTATTTACATATTAAATACATAATTAATCAAATAATGAAAGTAATAACTCGATCTTTATTATAATTTCTTATGATTTATCAACATTATATTAGTTCAGTTTCTAAAAATTGTCGTATGATCATATTTTTGTTATAAAACATTGTAACATCTTAAAGTATATAAATATATTTTTATCTCTTATTAATGTAAAAAATATTACTTATACAGGGTGAGGCATACGACTTGCACACTTCGAAAAACTTGGTAAACTATAGATTTTGTATAAAAAACTGTTTCATACAAAAGTTGCGTGAGGTCATTGTTTAATGAACAATTTTTTTTATAAGTGGAGGCGTTAACAAAATTTCAAGATCATTCGTTTTTTTTAAATGAAATTATATGAATTTTTTTACATAACATAATTCCTCTAACTATTCTGCATATAAAAGTATTAAGATAAAGGCATCGAAAAATCAATAGTTTTTACGAGATATTTTATATTTTATTCCGGCACATATTGATACAAAATATTAAATGTCTCGTGAAATATTAGTTTTTTGATAATCGTACCTTAATACTTTTATGAACAGAATAATGAGATGAATCAATTGCTAGAAAAAAACACACACATGGTTGCTTATTTAAAAAATTATCCATTTTGCCCACATATTTTTTTAAAGTAATTATGTGTTTTCTTTACACCAATTGATTCATCTTATTATTCCATTCATAAATGTATTAATGTTATTAAGATCGTATTAAGATTATAAAAAATTATAATAAAAAATTAAATATAGTTTACGAGATATTTAATATTTTATTTTTGATCTTAAAATTTTTTTTAATGCCTCCACTTATCAAAAAAATATATACTATGTAATGGCTCCCTCGAAGTCTTTTGTTACTTTTGTATATAAGTTTTTCATACAACTTATAGTTTACAAGTTTTTCAAGTTGTATGCTTTACTCTGTATATTTTATATACATATATAAAATACTTATTATATATACAAGAATATATAAAGAATGTAATAGACAGGTGATGAGTTAAACTTTATAAAATAAAAAAAACTATGTACTTGTTAAAACAAAATGCAGACAATATTGACAAATAATTGTGATATCAAAGTGTATTCTGTTTTCTCTTCGTCGATAATAATCTTGTTGCATTAAATTAAAATGTTTTCGGTCTTTTACAGGACTGTAAATTCATTGTACAGAAACAAAGGCACTGTCATTTTCTCTGGCGCCACACAATTCCGTAGTTTATTACAAACGAGAAATTTGCCTCACGCACTCTTAAGCGCTTTCTAGATTTATAAGGTTTTGGAAGAGGCGACCGTATTAAATTATAGTTCGTAAATATTCATGCGTAATAAACGCAGGCAAATAATTCATTCGTGCGCAGTCACACAATGCTCTGGTAATGTCAACTATGTAACTCGCGTAATTGACCGTCGACTGTCGTGAAATGGAGTATTGCAATAAATTTTTACGGTATTGTTATTTACTTACCGAGTCGCCGATTCGGTCGCAACAAGATTCGCAAAAATTCACTCACGGTAAATGTTGTACGTGTATTTTTCGTACCCCATATACATATACATCGAGTATCATGAGCTTATATTTTGATAAAAATATATTTTCTTCAAAAATGATTTCTCTCTCTCCCTCTCTCTCTCTCCCTCTCTCTCTCTCTCTCTCTCTCTCTCTCTTCCTTTCTTTCTAGTGATGTTTATAGTATTCCCACATTTATGAAGTATATATCATATGTCACGATGTCGTTATAAACGCATGCGGTAATGCATTTTCTTTCTATTCTCTTTATAATTTATAAAGAGATAGCTAACGATACAATCTCATTATTTTATTCCAAGCATTGTTTATTACACAATATATTACAATATATTTACAATTAGAAATATCTAAGGTCCGTATTCATAGTCGTAGATCGATCCACGATTGATCTTCATTTTAGGCGAGCTAGGTTTGAACTAAAAATTGAACCAATCAGATTTATTAAATCGTGGTTTGAGAAGCGTTTTTCAAATGAAAGACTGATTCAAACCTAGCTCAAATCGAATCTCAAGTTGAATCACGACTATGAATACGACCCTAAGAGTACGAACAGTATTCTTGCCACACTTTTGGACAAGTACAGATACGAAATATGAATATCGAAAAATGATGATTGATAAAAAGAATTTGGCACTTTTGTCTATCTATTGTGTGCTCGGACGAATATTTTTCAAAACGTCATGATTACAGAGATAAGACTGCAGTGAAATACGGAATATCGATAGAAAGTTATTGATATGCGAACGGACATATTCGTAAAATATAGCGACGTCGTCGTCATCGTTCAAGAGAGAGAAAGAGAGAGAGAGGATCGAGCATTTTACTTTCGCTTCTGAGAAACGACAGATTCAATGTACTCTCGGGCTCTTTTCTCGCGAGTAAAGCTTTTATTAACAATAAGCAGATCCGGACATCAAAGGATACAGAGCGCTCCAACGCGAATAGACACATTGTGACAACGTTTGAACAGAATCCGTGGAATTTCTCATAGCGTTCAGAGAGAAGGACGCAGGCGTGAGCAAGACCTTCTGATCTGATTCCTTTGAAAAAGTTTGCTGATCATACTTTTTCGGCGCCTGCGTCCTTCTGTCGGCGAATACGTCCAAGTATTTTAATATCGAGCCTGCCGGCTTGGTACAGAGCTTGCGAGCTTTAGCATTGTCCAGGCGACCTCCTCGCATGTGAGAATGGATAGGAATGCCACTGGGCTTTTGTACGTAGGTCTTTATTGTTCGGCTGTCCGACGATCAGTGGTTGTCACGCGACGAAACCGCGTCGACATCTAGAGTACACATAGGTTGATGTACATAGTCAAGGACAGGAAAAAGATAAATCGAGTTTTTCTCAAAAGAGGCGAATTATCTCAATATCTTAGTGTGAGTTTGAAAACTTTATGAGCTTTCAACTCGTAACAACAAGTTTACATTATTTGGGTACTATTTAAAGTAATACTTACTTTAAAGATACCATTCTTAGTTGCTATAATATGTATTGTAAGTACAAAATTCATGAGAATTAATTTATATCGCGATCATTGATTTATTTACTTGTTTCTAACTGATTTATTATAAGATTATAAGAAATTTTATTGAAACTGTGATATTCCGTACATTGTCAACAATTTGTTAACCGATATATTGTACATTATGATGAACAGAAAGCAGGATAATATCTATTGCCTGAGCTAGTGTTGCGATTGAGAAACTCTGTCGAACTGTTACGCACGTAGCTTTATCCATTCACATGCACTGATGCAAATATCATGTGCATATTTCTGGAGGTATGTAGGTCCAAGCCGAGTCTGTATTCTCTGATTCAGGCACTAGAAAAACTCGATACCGTAGCACGTTCACGTGTAACTTCTTTTGTTTGATCCGGTCTCACCGCCCTCGCATTCGCATCGCAGGCTGGATGTACTCCGAGTGTTGTCTTTCATTAAATAAAATTCCTTAAATCAAATGAAATACGAGGAGGACCGAGGAATAAACGTTCTCTTAATTATCTTAATTACCGATTGCAATTAATATTAAAATATTATTTAAACTTATTTTAGATTGATAGTTTCTGAATCAGATATTTTTTCAATATCAATAACGTATTAATTATTTCGATAATTATTTTCGTTGTTGTTTACAAACACATGCAATAAATCAAGCTTTTTAATAATATATACTGGCAAGAGAATCGGTAATGGCAACAACATTATTTATAAAATTAGTCAGTTTTATAAAATTTATAGAAAGATATATTGTTTTTTATCGTTAAGCAAAAAAATTACAAAATTGAATAGTGAAAAATAAAGATTCTTATGGAATACGCGTTGCTAGTTTAGGGTAAAAGCTTACCAAACATTTTTCTCCTGTTTTCACTATTTGAAATGCGCCGAGATGGGCATACATCATAGACGGGTGTATATAGGTATTGCATTTGGCATAGCATTCTGATCCTCGCGTAATGCGCGATCCGCTTCGGAAACGGCACGATACGGTTATGCAATACGTTTGCGTAAAGCCTCCAACCGCCGGCTTCGTTCTTCCGTTCTCCTTTTGGATGCGATCGACAGATGCTCCGAAAGATGCCGTCTTTTCTTATCTCGCGGTATCGGTATATATTTCTCCATCGCGAGCACACACAAATACCACCAAAAAGCGCGGTAAAGACAGCTTCGAAAAAATGTAGAGTTAAGATCCATCCTCATGTTACTGCCGTTCGAGTGCTCCTCCCTATCATGCGGAAAGGAGATTGCACGGTATATGACCGAGCTGTCGCTAATTCATTTGAAAAAATCCGACTCACGTGAACGCGCGTGGAAGGATATTTAGAGCTTAAAATGTGTGTGTGTGTGTGTGTGTGTGTGTGTGTGTGTGTGTGTGTGTGTGTGTGTGTGTGTGTGTGTGTGTGTGTGTGTGTGTGTGTGTGTGTGTGTGACTTGAAGTTTGATATTTATTTTTCTTTACATAATAAGTTCTATTGCACTCTTAATTAAGTGTAAATATTAACCTTTTTAGCTTCATCTATATCTTATTTTCGAATTCGATTCATCTCCATTCGTTTTAAAACTGCTTATATTTCTTTTCTACGATCCGTGGCTCGAATCAGAAATAATTAGAAGCGCAACGCGAATCAAACAGCTTGGTATATACGAGGCTTATTATTTCTCGAACCTCCCGATCTACCGAAGCGATAGTTTCTCCCAATTCTCGCAGTGTTCACTCTCGGGAGCTAGCAAGTGAAGAGTATCCGCGCGCGTGGTCCTTCCCTAATGAAACCTTTCGAGGCAAGGATCAGGAGAGCAGTAAGAGACCGTATAAAAGTCTGGATCGTGCAGTCGAGTTCGATAACGAGGCCGAAGGAGCCGCCAGACAGGCTGCGCTTACTTTCGAAGTCGCTCAGGAAGGCCGTTAACTCCGCACGCCTTCGCCTCGATGGGCGGAAAGACGTACCCCCCTCCCCCATCCATCCAAAAAAAAAGAACTGTCTAAATGCACGCAAAAATGCCATAAGCCAGTGTATGCCGTAATAACCGTAGCGATCGCTACTGTCGGCGAGAATAAGGTTTAGTGGTGTCGGTAGTGGTCCGCGAATAGGGTGGTTTGAAGGGGTAGGTCTTGAAAAGCCAGTTGGGGGTTCCACACGCGCGTTATATTCAATAAAACCGAAATGTACCGCAAGAGACCCTTTTCGCCTCCGCCCTCCAACTCCACCCATTAAGCTATTTTTACTCTTGTCGCCTATTTCCTTTACTCTTTTCTTCCCTTGCTTCTCTTTGTCCTTCGTACTTTACACACACACGCACGCACTCACTCCCCCCCCCCCACGCCTTCTTCCTCTCTCTCACGTACGTATAACCCTGTATACGTTACAGGATGGCGGATCGTTCGCCAAAGTTTATTTTGCGTAAGCGACAAAACTCACCCCTCATAGTGGTGTAAAATGTTTAGCATTCTTCTCTTCCTTGTTGTCAGACCACGCTGTGAAAGTCATCCGCGGGATACAGATAATCATGGTTACAAGTCAAATTGGCACTTTTCGTTTCTAATGTTAATTAATTTGAATCTTATTTTATTTACATGTATAATTGAACATTACAGGAAAAATGTTTTTGACACAAAATGAAATTTACAAGATTTTGTTATACATTAATTAATAAAAAACAACTCGTGTATTATTAAAAGAAAACATTTTTCTTTTAAAATCGCACATGCTTGACCAGGCAATGAGATTGTAATAATAATGAAAACATTGAAATTTTCTATAGAATTAGCTATTTGTATCTCGCTGATGACGATTTTTGTTGTAGTTTATATGGTTATGTTTTTTCCATTATTTTGACATCGAGAGTCAACAAACATCACTCATATTGAAAAACATCGTTCGTATCGAACTGTATATGCACTTAGCGTACGATAAGGGAAAAACAATATTCGATGTCACGCGCCCATAAATTTGACTCTGGGAATAGCGCCTTTATAGTTGATCGTGTATCGTGCATTAATAATGCTCGCTTTCACACGGGTCGCCTCCAATGTGCAGTAGCGATTTTCTAAAATAAAATATTAACACAAGATATTAACAATAATGCGAAACAGTAATGCGAAATATTTCTAGAACCTCTAATTATAAAAACGGTTGAGAAAGAATGAATTTGAAATACACTTATTTAGAAAGGCAGAGAGAGAGAGAGTGCGCATGTGTTGTTTATTTTCACAAATTATTAATCATTACCATGATATATATCATAGTCAGATTCTTATTTTCACGCTATCGAAGATGACAAGAGATCCGTATCGAGTCTCGTATTGCCGGCATCGGCATCGGCATCGGCATCGACATCGGCATCGGCATCGACAGAGAGGACGATAAAGTACGTGAAACTCTATGGAGCGGGGGATGTTATTGGGCCGCGGCCACTTAATATGTAAATGCACCATAACGGCAGGCAGGCTGTTGTCGCTCGTTCCCTACCTGGATCTAGACAGCAAGCAACGCAGCCAATACTTTAATTTACATTTACATTTAAAATTGTTCAAGAGTTGACAGCCGCCATCTTATTCGTTTACCTCTCATCTGCCTCTTTCCTTTATCTTTCTCTTCTTTTCTCTCGTCGGATTCTACTGTCGAAACGATACTTATCACCCTATTCAGCTCTCTGCATTCTTATTCTAGCTTCTCTTCAAAAGTGTGTCTCTAATCTATTATTATAGTTCAGATATATAGATGATTCGCCTTTTTATAGATGCGAAAGAGAAATCTCTTTTCTCATTACAGGAATGTATATAATATTGATCTTTTTTTAGGTTTTTCTCAGCATTTTTAGATAACCTTTCAAAGTGTATACGTTGAGAGCAAGGTCGACGCGTGAGCACGCGTGAAGATGCTCGAATCGGTATAGCTAAAGATATTCTCATACACCCTTCGATCTATCGACAGCGCATCAGTCGCTTCGCAACCCTCGTTATCGTTTCGGAGAGACTCGGTTATTCGACATTCTTTCACCCTATTTTGCCGCTTCACAGCCCTCACTCGCCACATCATGTAACTGT